CAAAGAGAGAATGCCCAAATGTCTGCTGCCCTGTGCAACATATGAAATTACCTGTTTTCCTCGGTATCACTAACATTAAGTAGGGCCAAAAATATGATCTCTTTCCCCACTGATCACAAGGGTGATCACTGACATCCCTGTAAGGGAAGAAGATGAACCAGAGAAAAGCATGGCAGATTTATTAAGTCTAATTTGGAGGTGACATGGAGCTTTTAGAGCCAAAGACCCAAAGACCTGGAAGAAAGTGTTTCTATGCTTAAGTTGGCTGAAGAACAGACAGGGATATGGAAATGTGATTGGACCAAAGCCTGTTAACATTTTATGACCTAATGGTAGCAGAGTGAGGGAGGGAATGCCTGTCTATCCAGATTCTTGTTAGACTCTTTGCACAGCCTCCATTCTTCTCAGGTTTTGGTCAGGACCCACTGTAGTGAGGGTCTCTAAAGGATGAGGGAGAGAGAGTCCTCTTTATCTTTTTTGGCTTCTTTTTTTTTTTTTTTTGGTTTTTCTCTGGTACCGGGAACCGAACTCACGACCTTGCGCTTGCCAGGCAGGCGCTTTTGCCACTGAGCTAAATCCCCAGCCCCTTTTTTGGCTTCTTTTGGGGAAGAAAGTGTCCTTGTTTCTATCACCCTCCTGGAGGTAGAAGGATTCTAGTGTTTATGCCTCTGTGGGTGAAAGACAGCCGGGAGGCAGAACACATTCAGAGAACCCTTCTCCAGGGATCCCCCAGGGCACATCAGTTCAAAAGATTCAGCACAGCAAGGTGCCATTTTGGTGGGTATTTTGTTCTGAGTCCAAAGAAGTACAATACTCTTTATTCTTTGCCAGTCTGGGAGGTGAAGACAGACATCCCTTTGAACTTCAGAGATTTATGTTTATGACCATCCAAATTTGTTCCAGAACCCCAATCAAACTGTCTAAGCCTTGGACTGCAAACTATGTGGGTGCCTGGTCACCCAGTAAAGCCCTAAATCTCCAACCCCAGAGGTGTTTACCCATCCAGCTGCATGTTGCTTCAGGTATTTCCCTTTCCTGTTTTCCTCATTAAAATTTTCTGTTTTTCAATGCTACTTATCTGGAGGAAATTTGGAAGGAAAGAATTGATTCTCCCTAATTTGTGAATAATTAATAGCACTCCAACCTGTACTTTTTAATGAGTCTTCTTAATAATCAAGGCTTGGAGAGTCTCTAGGGGTGTAATTTGGGGTCCATTAACAGAATGAAGTGGCAAAAGATGCCCAAGGAGAAAAGGATGATTTTTAGAGGGGAACAGACCATTTCCCTTGCCCTGAAATCAATTCCAGGTTCATCTCCCTCACACTCATTATGTTTCTTCTCTAGCTGGTTCTCTTTCCCTTCTAACATCTTTAATGGAGACGTGTTCAATTCAGCCACACACTTGACTCTCTAGGGAATCTCGAAGCCTTCCAAGGTCCAGGACAACCATCAGACATCTGACTAAACCTCTGGTGGGGAACAAGGAGTTGTACTTTCAAAACAATCTCTGGTGATTTCTACATGTAAAACTATTGTTTTAATACTGCCTGCTTCCCCAAAGAGCCCAGGTCTTCTCACAGACTCCAGCTGTAGGGAATGGGACCATGCAGCAAAAGTACCAGTTAGAAGGGAACACCGAACAAAAAAGCAAAAACCAAAACAAAACAAAACAAAACAAAAAGAATGAAAAGACCCAACTAAGGGGCTCTCACAAGTAATACCTTCAAAGGGAGACATGAGGGTCGAGGATAGAGCCCAGCAGCACAGGGCCTGCCTGGCTAGTGCAAGGTTGTGAGATCAACTCTTGGTACCCCTCCCCCACAAAAAAGTAAACATAAAAATAGAGGGAGATATGAAAGGAAGTGGACAGGACCAGAAATAATACATAAACTAATGCTGCTGCTGTCCTAATTTCACTGAGTAGATGTCTTCTCTCAAGTCAGCCGTACCTGTAAATGACTGGATGCTGGACCACCAATGATGGAACACTTCTTGCAACTTTCTCCTACTATCTCCTATGCCTAGCAGGGCACTTTTAACTCGGGGACCATGTAGACCCTATATATTGAACTGATCACTCACTCCCTTCCAACCCAATAATATATTGCTTACTTTCAAATGCAACCTTATGTTTTATGCAGATATATTCAAATATGTATGCAAATGAAAAAAAAAAAAGACCTACAGTTGGCTGTGCCCCCAAATGCTCCCAAAAGAAGTCAAATATTCATCACTAAGAAACACCTGACAGAGGCTCTACCTCATTAACAGAGTCCCTGTGGCCAGTGCCCAAATCTTGGCCCCTTCCTCAGACAGCAGCCTTTGGGAGAAAATGGGTCCAATCAGGCTGAGCAGCTTGTGGGGTCTCCACGCCACCCCAAGCAGATGTTCAGGGCTGTAGCAAGCCATAAGGTAACTGACTGAAAATGCAGGCAGACTTCTGCATCTGGGCTGCCCTGAGCATATGGGACACAGATGACCAGGTGCCCGTGCCTGGTGCTCCACATCTCCCTGGGCAGCTTTTCCAGGCAGCTGAGAGTTCAGGGCCACAAGCTCTCTACCTTCCACTCAGCCAGGAGGCCTCTGCTCTGATTGCTAATGCTTCCATCTCACCAGGCAGGCATCTCAGGTGTGGCTCCCATGGGCTTTACCAACGCTGGCTTCCTCCACCCCTGAAAGAGCTCCTAATCCATGTCTGACTCTCTCTTTGTCCAATTCTGGACAAGGGAGCTCTCCTAAGTAATACCTTTAAAGGGAGACATGAGGGCCGAGGATAGAGCCCAGCAGCACAGGGCCTGCCTGGCAAGTGCAAGGTTGAGTGAGCTTTGGGTGAGACTTTGGGTGAGACTCCACGTCAGCTCTGCCTTCTGCCTTGACCAGTACCCACTCCTATCTTCTGCTCAACAGACAGACAGTCCTTGGATAGGCAGTTTCCGTCTGGCCATTCCGATGTTAAAGGCCTCCATGGACTCCCATTTTCTAACAGTGTTTTCAGTTCCTGGCTGCACGTTGGAATTGCCCAGGGCGCTTTTGAAAACAGTGCAGATGCGCAGGGCCCAGAAGTTCTGATGAAACTGTTTTGCTCAAAGTGCTCTCTAGAATCATCTGTCAAGGATTCTGTTGAAAGCCCTCTGTGGTCTGGCAAGTGAGGCTCCCGGGTGGCTGGAATTTTTCCCGTTTGCCTTGCTTGTCCTTCCAGACCCTTGTTTCTCTATACAGCATCTCTGCCTCCTTGCTGTTGCTCTGAGTTACAAACTCTGCCTCATTTTCAGGCAGGCACCGTGCCACTGGGCTAAATCCCCAGCCCCGTGCCTCATTTTCAAAATTCCCCCTCTCTGGCAATCTTTTCTTCTGTGACACATTCTTGGGATCCTCACAAGGAATGAAAGCTCTGTCATTTCTACCACATTTTACTGTTTCACTTATAATCACAACTATTGTTTAGTGGTTATTACTATTACTACTATTGGCTTGCTTCTCTATCACACTAGCCTAAACTAAAAGAATGGCATTTTAATCCCTTTTACATGCGTTTTATCTATTTAACTATGTGCTCCCCCAGAATGGGAACCATATGTTGTTAATACCCATATTCCCCCATGCCAGGGACTACTTGGTACTTCCTGTCCTATGTATTTGAGTTAGTTAACATGAGTGCTTGCTTCTGACTGACCTGACCTATTCTGCATTCCCTCCTGTATAACGCTTCCACAGCTTTAAGTACAATCAATGTCCCCCTCTAGTAAGTGAAGTAGCTAAAGCACTAAGAAGGGAAGCAGCTAGACAGATAGCAAGGGACTATTGGATAAGGCATTCATGGCTCTCTGCTATTGTTACAGAAGCATCTTTATGTCCAGATCAGTTAATAAGCCCATTTCCTTCCAGCAGGCACTTACCCCAACAGCACATAACAGACAATACCATTTCAGAGGAAGTAGTCAAATGTGCATGATTAGTTCCCAATGTTGTTTCCCCAGCCAGATAGGTCAGCAGTGGAGTGTGCAGTTTGACAACAGACATCTGGAACAAAAGGACAGGAAAGAAAGAAAAGAAGTTTGGATAAATCAGCATCCCCTCAGCCTTCACAGTGCTCTTCACACTTTCCCTCCAGATATCCTCTGCTACACAATGGGTGTGGTAGTATTTACAGGGGATAAGCCAGAATTTTGTGAAGATTGGTAACTTATGCCCTGCCATGTAATCAGTTATGGAAAGAAGTTGGAGTTGAGCCTGTTTGCATTCTCACTGAGTAAAAGACTCTGCCTGGCATGTCCTAGGAGGCGAGCTTTCTTCATCCACTTTAAAAAAGAGTTTACCAGGCTGGAATGTAGTTTAGTGGTTGAGCATTTACTTTACATGTGTAAGGCCTAGGGTTTATCCTATGCATCACCCAAAAGAAAAAATTCTTGTATTAAAATTTGGTGATAGGGGCTGGGAATTTAGCTCAGCGGCACAGCGCCTGCCTGGCAAGCACAACATCATGAGTTCAATTCCTGGTAACAGAAAAAAAAAACAAAAACAACAACAACAACAAAAAGTTGGTGATAAGTGGCTTGTATAAATGACTAAAACACTAAAGATGCCTATAACTCCACCATCCAAATACTACCTCCATTTTGAGGTTTTCTTCTTTTATTTCCCTTTTCCTCTGCAATTATACAACAACAGATCAACATATGGCTTATCTTTGGTTGAGAATTATATATCTATATCCATATATATAATTTTGTGCTTTGCACATTTGATTTTAACTCAAATATATCAGAAATGGTTTAGTCACTTAAAGAATCAGAAAAGGACGAAAAGGAGAATTGAATTAAACAGAAGGAAAAGGGGGAAACTGACTCTCCTGAGGCAGCTGGGGGTTTGGGTTTGTGCAAATAGGACCGGAATCTGGTCTGAGAACAACACTGACCACAGAGGCTGGGAAATCAGCCCCACTCTCTGCAAACCTGCCCAATCAATCAACCCCACGCTTGCCCTTCCTGTTTCTTTTGCAGGCAGCAGCTTGAATGATGGCTTGTGGCATTCAGTTAGCATCAATGCCAGAAGGAACCGCATCACTCTCACGCTGGATAATGAGGCAGCGTCCCCAGCTCAAGACACCACCCGGATACAGATTTATTCTGGAAGTAACTACTACTTTGGAGGTAAATTCTCCAGCCTTGGAAATTGAAAGTAAAGTTGGGGGAGTGGGTGCAGTAGCCTGTTACTTCACCATAATGATTGTTGCTTTGTCAATTAGACAGTTCTCCCAACACACATACAAACACACACACTCATGCTCAAAATAGTGAGAAGCAAAATCTCTCACAGCTGTGCAAATATAAATTATCTAGGCCAGTGCTGAGGGAAAAAAGTACTTCAGCTATAAGAGCTAGTGTTATATAACAAGTCCAAAGGAGGTTCTGTAGCTATGCCAAGCTCTGTGATCACATTGGAAATGAGAAGCTCAGCTGAAAAGTGAGAGGACATGAATTAAGATTCTGCAGTTCCACAGGGGAAAAATTCAGGTGAGAGGAGCAGACAGGGTACCCAGCGGTCTCAGTCACTGCATGGACACCTTCTGCTCGGAGCCTTGGTCTTCACTCTCCCATCTCTCTGAGGCCACCTGTGCCCCTGGAATGGGGCATCTGGAAATGAGGAGTGGTCAAGAGGGTGCACATGGAGAAGGAGACTCAGCCTCTGCGCTGATTCTGATGCCTGGTGAATCCTGGAATCCATTCAATAACAAAAACACAAGAGCAAACTAATGAGGATATACTAGGTGTCTAATGCATCTTTATATGTGCATACATATTTTATTTAGTTTTTGAATCTATTTCTTTTATTAGAAAAATAGCATCAGTTTATATTATAGAAACCATCTCTGAAGGGATGTTAAGCCCAGTGCCTGGCTAACCTTGCTGTATTATCCCCAAAATTCCTCACCTGAGACATGAGAGAATGAGCTCTCAGAATTGCTGGCAGAGTTCAGTAAGGGCAGGCTTTCATCGCCCATAATGAAAGCTAGAGGCATCACTCAGTGGTAGTAAGTATGACCAGCATGTGCATGGCTGTTAGTTCTGTCCCCAGAACCACACACACACACACACACACACACACAGGGCTGGGGATTTAGCTCAGCGGCAAAAGCGCCTGCCTGGCAAGTGCAAGATCATGAGTTCGGTTCCTGGTACCGGAGAAAAACCAAAAAAAAAAAAAAACACACACACACACACACATACACACACACACACACACATACACATACCTGCACACACATACACACATGCACACATACATGCACACATACATGCTTACATACACACACTTACACAGAGAATGGCACCTGCTATATGGCAGGGAATGGACAAATTGGTCTCAATTACTGTAGGCATGGGCTGGAGTCTGGGCCGTCATTACCAATTCTATTTCTATTAGGAAATTAAAGAGACATATATAAAACTAGGCACAGCTGTCTCTGTCTCTCTCTGTCTTTCTCAGTCTTTGTCTCTGTCTCTCTCTGTCTCTTTCCCTCTCTGGATTAAATGCAGGGCCTCCCACATGCTAAACATGGGCTCTGTACCTCTGTTGTCTCTTACCTCCAACCTCCAGAGTATAGCAAAAATTTCTCTACTATCAGTGAAGTATGGTTAAAGGTATGAAATAAAAAGGGACTTTTCATAGATGTAGGGTACATATTGATGTCTCCTGGAAGGTAACACTGTGGAGTAAAATCCTTGAGGTTGTTTGTCAGGTGAGGACAGGCCTCTAGCCTTCACCCAGAGATAACACATTCCTCCAGAAAGAAAATGCACTCTGTAAGTGATTTATGTGACTTATTTCACTGGGTTTATGCTAAGTCTTTGTGAGGTAGGTACTAATATCTCTATTTAATAGATACAACAATTGATGTTTGTGATATAAAATAATTAATTACTACAGCAAATCCAGATCTGTGTTCTCCATGACCCAACAATGAAAATAAAGAGATGAAAATAATGTCAAAACAAGTGTCTTGGGGGTTCCCAAAAGTGTACTTCAGAGACTATAATTATGTATCTTGTATACTATTTTAGCAGCAGAGAAAAAGAGTTATCATAAATTCATTTCTGGTAAAAATGCTTTTGAGTAATTATGGTATAATAAGCAAATGACATGACACAAAGGCAAAATGACTACCCTCATCATTTGAAGAGGTGCCCTTGGGTGGGGGGAGTTTGAGGGCGCCTGGCTTAAAGGTACATTTATCTATGATTTGAACAGTGTTTAAACAAATGCCGCACACGTAGTCTATAAACTTAAGGAATGTGAAAAATGGGTTTCAGTAATAATAGTCAACTTACATAAATTCTCTCTACAGCTCCAATTAGAAGTTGTAGCATCTCTCTTCATTTTATGGTGTGCCTGTGAGCTGTTAGCCAGCTGCTGGGCTTCAGCCCGGCAGTGACTGTCTATTAGAGATGGCTGAAATAATTCCCAATTATTTATGGGTTATTGCTATGTTTTCAAGCTTGCATTCCCATATGCTCAGAACCTATTAAAACCATCGGGATGGAGTTTATAAAGAATGCAAGCACTCAAAGCTGGCATCGCTCTTTACCTGTCTTAATGAGAAGTAGCTATCATGCCATGCTAAATCAGTGTAATGTAGTTTTTTTAAAAAGAGCACTGTTTAAAAAAGTATGATGTTAACCTTTCACTTATCCCATTATAATTCTATAACTATGTACATTTAAATCCATGGTTCCTGTGAAGATTGGGTTTACTGTGCACATTGCTTCAAAATTCCAGGTACGTTCTTCTGGTACCTTTCTTGGGAGCTAAACCCATTAATGATAATGATTCACCAGACAATTACTCTGCTGCCATTCTTACCCAAAGCATAATTTCCTTTGAAAGTGTAATTTAGAGTTGAGTTGTACATTTAGATGTGTGTTTTGAAACAGAACTGAGATTCCCAAGTGCTTATGCCACGTTGTATCCCCAAGATGAGTGAAGGGTGCCATGGGGAAGAATGACCAGTAGCTTTCCCACAGGAGAACAGTAAGAAGGAGGCAAATGGAATGGCATGACTAGTTGCATTAGCGCACATTGTAGTTTCCTATTAAGTGACTGAGTAGTCTAGTTTGTACTATTTCTGTCCCCTTCCTACAAACGGTAGGATTTACAGCAAAAGTGCGTGCATGGCTATGAATGAGAAGGCACTAGCATAATTAGACCTCAAGGTCTTCCTTCAATAGGTCGCCAAAGAAATGACTGATCATTTCAGCATTCTTCTTCATCTTTTTTCTCTGTCCCACAGGGTGCCCCGACAATCTCACCGATTCCCAATGTTTAAATCCCATTAAGGCATTCCAAGGCTGCATGAGGCTCATCTTTATTGATAACCAGCCCAAGGATCTCATTTCAGTTCAGCAAGGTTCCCTGGGGAATTTTAGTGATTTACACATTGATCTGTGTAGCATCAAAGACAGGTAATTATTGTCTCTTCTCCTCTGTTCTCGTACCCTCTTCCCATTCTCACTGTTCTAAATATGAGTTTCTTTAAGCAAAATTCTAATCTACCAACATTAGCCACATTAGACATAATTGAGTCACCTAATGGAAAATATTTCTGAAAGGATTTCAGGCGCAGAGAAAAATGGTTTAAATTAGTTGAGTCTCTCTTCATGTTGACTTGCAGTAAATGGGATATGCAAATTAAATCAAAATACAAATTTGTGAAAGGATTAAAATTTTATGCATAAACAACATTTGATTACTTTGAAGCTAAGAGTAAAGCAAAAAGGAGGGAGGGATTGCTTCTCTCCTAAACGATTTCATTCTTCTCTACAGTGGGTACCCTTTCACAAGCACATAAGCACCAGGCCCCCTGGGAACCTTACAGCCAAGTTCTGCAGTGCCTGGCTGTACTGTACAGAGCAGCACCCGGGAGTGGCTGAGTTTTGCTGCCCCATGATATCTTTGGCCTTGAGGAGATACGACTGTGGCTATCAAGAATCTGCTTTTTTGCTCAGCAGTCCACAGATCTAGCCAAAGGTCATTTTCTCTCCCCATTTCTCCTGGGATCTGGCCCCTCTTAAAATGGGAGTTTCTAGATTTAAAGATGCACTGCCAAAAACCAAAGAAAATATATTTTATATTCCCAGAAAGATTTAGTATGCTCCTTCTCTAAAGCTGACCTCCTTTCTTCTTTCAATTCTGCTCACCTCAGTCAAATATCATTGACAGAATGGGTGAACTGTATCTGCTAAGTGCTTACCTATGTGCTGGTGATAGAGTTTCTCAGCTCACATTTCACCAGGAAATTAATCAGCTATTAAAGTAAAGTGAGATAAATGACAAGAAATGCACCTTCTTTGCGGGTAAACTAGCCTAGCCCTGGAAATGAGCTGAGGGAGATGTGGTGACATGATACTGAGTTAAATCTTAAAGGTGGAAACCTAGTAGGGCTTGTCAAGATGGCAGTGGATGGGGTTTTGCAGAATGTAGCATTGTGTAAGACATGGAAACAGAAGAGTGCTTGGTTTGTAGGTACACATTTTGGCAATTCAAAATATTATTTTTGTCATTTAAAATATTTTATTGGGATGGATTTATAACTGATGATGTGCAATAATTGCATTGGGAAAATTTATTGTTTTCAGCCATGTATAATTAGTGGTATGCCCTATTGTTCATGGTGTCTTCAATTCGATCCTTATAGCTTATCAGGATGGTAAGTGAGTGTGGGTGGAGTACATGGCCTGAACATATCAAGACTAATCAGGAAGAACTTTGTGTAGGAGTGGAATTTGTTTCATGTTTAGGGCAGAATTGGAAGGAAGTGGTCAGATTTGCCTAGTAGAGGCAGTACTCAGGAACTGGAAAGATGCATGCATAGGGAGTGACTGCAGAAGTATGGAAAGTAGTAAGTGCCTCAGCTGAAGGGCATAAAAATCAGCAGTGCAGATCACAGTCCCTGTTCATGTTGGGAATGGCTGGTAGAATTTGGTGGAGTTTTACACATGTTTCTTGGCTAAGATCACTACACGTGGGGTCATCAACAAACCACACAAGACCCTGGCTCTTGTGCTTCATTTTATTCTATTTGAGCAGTGGGAAAAGTGGATAAGAAAACGTGTGCATCATTAAAATGTGCTGGTTTAGAGGTCTCAGAATAAAAGGTATCACCAGTGGCCACCCCTCCAGTATTCAGTGATTGTGAGGGGAAGGATGCTGCTTCATCAGTCAGCCTGGCCCTTTGCAAAACATGGATCAATACAGGGAACATTTACCAACAGGGTCTCTTTGATACCTTAATTTCTAATCAGGGAAGCTTTCATTATTTTTGATTACATGAAAGTCATTGCCATCTACACTGCATCATTACTTTTGTGTAATTGTACACTTGTATAATTATGTTTTATACAATTGTGTTTTAGTTAATTATATAATAAGAGAATTGTTTTAGTTTAGTGGGTAAATGGCACAGTTTTTCTTAATTTACCAGACATTCTCTCTAACTGAAAGAGAACCTGTGGCAAAAGGCTTTGCTTCACTTATTATTGATTTAATTCCCATTTAATATTTGTTGGAAAGGCACTAACGTCCAATGGGCAGGTGATTCCGGAGTTCTAAGTTTTGTGTTTAATGTGTCAATCAATGAGAACTTGATTTCAGGGTAAGTGCAGGTCTTTGCTTTCAAGAAGCTAGGCACCGGCTGAGGTTAGATGGGAGAAGAGTTGGCTGTGGTCTCCCTTGCCTGGGCTCCTCTCTAGGAAGGCTGTGAGGACAGCCTGAGCATTTCTGCTCACACCTATCCTCCTTCCCTGCTCTTCCTAGTAACAGGCAGAGAACTCCTCTTTGCCTCCCTCGCCTTCTTCTTCAAAGCAAAATAAGATCCAGGCTTCAAACTGCTTTTCCGCTGAACCCATTTACACTTTATGTTATCTTAGCACAGGTTATTATGTAGAAATCAGATACGGAAATCCCAGGTAGTGTTCCTAGAAGAGGAAAGAATGTTTCCAAAACCTTAAGAGCTTCCTCTGTCAAGAGGCCACAGGTAGGCCCCTTTTTCACTGGTGGCTGGTGACTTCGACGGCGTCTGCCCAATGTGAGCTTTTCAAAATGCATCTTTGAGAAATACTTCTGAGAGATTAAATAATTTTAACCAATGTCATGTCTATAATGGGCAAATTACCAAATCTTCCAATCTCTGAAGGAAAAGAGGCAAGTAGTGGCCAGGCCACAGCTCAGGAGTAATTGGAGAAAGTGTTAGCTTTAGGTAGGTGTAGAGTATGACATCCAAAGAAATGGTGAGAGAAGAGGGAACTGAGATCCAAGTGGACCTCTCTCAGCAGGTTTCATGTCCTTCCAGAAGTCTTGGGATATAATGTGCCACCATACCCGTCTTCTAGCAGCCGGCCCCCCAGTCTCATGATCTTTCTACCTTAAGCTTTTATTCTTCATGAGCTGCATCTGTTCACTTCCTTGGATTTGAAGCAAGAAAGACATAATTTTCAGACACCATTGAAACAAATCATCTTGAATAATTATTTCATTCAATGAATGACTTATTATACAGGCTGGTTGAGTCTCTTAGATAGGTACTGACTGAATGAGACAGACTTTTTCATCTTCTTGAGTAGGATAGGAAGGTCTAAGAATTGTAGAAGCTCTGTGGATATAGGAGCACTGAGATCCCCTTTTCTAAAAGAGGTAAATTGGGACCCAGAGAGGTATGTCAGCTTTTGCAAGTTCACAGGAAGCTTAAACTGCAGCCAAGGACATTGTTAGTGCTCTCCTCTGCACTGTCTAACAGGCACTGATGTGGAAATGTCATTGTGTATCTGTGACACTGAATATGTAACCCTGTCTTCTGTTCAACCACATACATTTTTGAGAGTATGTAATATTCTGTATTTTTTGTAAACTTTATGTATCCAAAGTATAATTCCAATTACTTGGGGAGGGCATTCAAAGTATTATATATTAGGCAGATACCGAGTGGGACAATGTGGGCCAGGTCTAGAGGTTTCTCTTGCCAACATCCTCAGAAAACAGGCTAAATTGTTAACTGGAATCATCTACAATCCTTCCTAGAGTTTAAATTTACAGTGAAGGATAGAAAGATACCACATCATGACCAAGAATTTGAAGATGCAGTATAATTCAAAGTGTGAAGTCAAACCAGGAGGGCAAAGCAAGGACACTGGATAAGCTGTCAAAGTAGAAGGAATTAGAGGCCAGATCTGGAGAGATTCCCCAGACCTGGTGCAGATAGCGGCAGCTTTTGAAGCCAGACAGAGCATTTAAATCCCAGCCCATCATTATCATATTGTGATATGACGTGTGGTGTGTTGTTTGATCTTGTGTCTGTGACCCTTTTGGAATACCAAGTTTCTAAAACCTACCTTTAAGTTAAGGGGTAAATGAGAGGATCTGAGCAGTCGTGTACTCGGTTGCATTTCTGGTATACAGTCAGTACTCAGAAAATGCTCACTATGTTAATTCCCAAATTCAAATATTGACCAACTCTTTGGCTTTTGTTAGGAGAGAAAAGCCTTAAGGTTCCTTCTAATACCCACCTTCCCAATGACTGTGTGATTCCCAGGGGCTTCTGGTTTATCCTTATGGAATTATCTCTGTTCCATGACTTCACATGGGATTTGATTCCTGAGATTTGCCCTTCTAGACCACCAACTACTGCCCTTTAAGAAAGAAGACATCTATAGGGGAGGCTGAGAGTTCTCTAAGACAGTGATTTCAAAGTCTGATCTAGGATGAACCTAGAAAGCAGGATTTAAGGAGGCCCTTATTTCCAGGTTGATGCATATGTAGCTCCTGCTTTGACAAGAACCCAAGTGTGAGGACCCTCTTTAATCTTACAGGCAAATTTGAATGTTTTCACCAGAATCACAAAGAGGGCTTGTCAGAATACAAATTGCTGAGAGCAAGCCTGAGAACTTGCATTTCTAATGAAGTCTTTGTATGATACTGTTGCTGCTTGAAGAACTATACTTCCTGAACTGCCTCTTAAGCAGTCTAATCCTGGGGAATGTCCAGTTTCATGGACACAACTGAGGCAATGCAAATGTGGAGAAGAGGGATGGAACTTGCCCCTCCTGCAATCCCAAGCAACTTGCCTCCTGGCTAGGAGCTCTTGGGGTCTCAGAACGTTCCACAAAACCTATCTCATCCCTCTTTCCAAAGGGGCATTAAAATCAGTTCTAGGAGAATAGGGCCCTAGATTTCTTTTCCCTCCAGACTCTCTGTCTCTGCTACTTAGCTCATCCTTGCTTTTACCATAAAGCCTTTGTGAATATACTGGAAAACAGATTCTTAGATGTGGAAGTGATAGAGAATTTTGGCTGGAAGGGAATGTGATTGTAGAAGAGCTATGGCTGCCAGCAAACATAATCTGTGTTTTTGTAAAGAAGATGGTTGTTTTTCTGGCCCCAGCTGAACATTATACCTTAATCTTGCCTTTTAG